AGAGGAGAGAGGAGAGAGGAGAGAGGAGAAGGCACACCTGAGAAGGCATGGTCATGCTACAATCCCTTCTCCACTTCTCCATCCTGTTGGGATTTTGAGCACACTCGCACATGCCCCTGGTGTGTTTTTGAAGCCACAGGGGCCAGGACAAGAACGACACAGTTGAACATGTGGGATCTGCCTCCCTTAGCCACTAGGCTACAGGGACTGACCCACAAAGTGAATGTAAACAGTTCAGGCTGCCTACTTTAAAATCAGTGCTGTGGAAAATGTACTATTTAAGGCCCATGCAGTCTGAATTTCGAGCAACAGAAACACGCAGAGGAGCTAAATGTTCACCAGCTTTATCTCAAACTTCCTTGCACTTAGAATCATGTGCTCTCAAAGACATGGGATAAAATATTTTTAAAATAGAATTCCTTCTTAGACAAAAATGCCTATTTGGGGCTAGCCCCAGAGCACCGTGGTTAAGAGACCCAGATCCCATGTGGCTGACCACAGTTCAAATCCCAGCCAAGGACTTTAAAAACATGCTGAGCCCCAAATCTTGACTGAGTGGAGAAATGGAGAAAAAGGATTGCAGCATGACCACACCCCATGGGGTGGGGGGATTATGTGTCTGGCTAATGTACACAACACTCTCCAGAAATTTTTTAAAAATGTATTTCTGGTTTCAAATTCTGTAACTTCCATCTTACCTGACTCTTTGACTTCTTTTATGACCAGTAATGAAAGCAACGCCTCAAGTAACGCCCTTAAAAGGCGGGACCAGCAGTTAGCATAATGGCTATGTCACTGGACTCCCATGTGGTCGACTGCGGTTTGAGTCCCGGACCCAGTGACTTAAACTCACGCTGGGCGCGTGTCCGTGCGTGCCCAAGATCCCAAGAGGAGAATGGAGGAGAAGGGATTGCAGTGTGGCCATCCCCCCAGGGGGTGATTTGTCGCTTTCTGTCTCTCTGTCTGTCTGGCAAGCACATGTGCCCTATAGCAAAAACCTCTCAAAAAAAAAAAAAAAGGGCAAAAATCATTTATAAAAAAAAAAATCTCTACAGTAAATTCCTGGAACTTTAGTTCCTTAGACCTGGTTTAAAGGCCTTCCACCTAGGACAGAGACCATATGCAAATGAGATTAGGGCCCTCTGACTCCTCTAGGACACATGTGCTGGATTGTCACCTTGCAGTCTTGAGACACACAATGCCAACAGTTACCATCTGAGATCTTCCCCATTAAGGGCAGAAAGGAACCCCACATGCAAGTCCTACAGAACTAACAGCCATGATTTGAGACCACCACACCAAACTCTGCCACTTCATAAGACAAATCAGCAAGACCAGAAACACCCTCGGGAGGTGTGGTGGGTACTGTCAGACATCGGCATGGTGGCCTGTCCCCGTTTCTCCTTCCTAAGGAAAAGAACTCTGACGTTGTGAGGGAGCCATGCCTCCCCCAGGAGACTCAGTGTGTACCCAGTCCTTGAAGGAAGGCCTGGTAGGCAAAGGCAGCACTGAACCCCAGAATCCACCAATCAGGACCCCACACACACACCTCTGGAGGGCTCCAGAGACCAAACATTCACCTCTGAAGCTTTCTTCTCACTTGCAAAGTTGAGTGGGCAGAGCTGTTAAATATTTTAAGGAGTCTGCCAGGCATATACTACTGCTTTGGCTGAAATAATGAGAAGGTTATAGCTTAGTTGGACCGTAACAATGTAAATTAGCATACCTTGCTCTTATCTGCATGAACCTTCCATACTTAATTCATCTACCCTCATAAAATCTTTGTGAGAGTGAAATGATCGCTGTTTCCCCACTGTACAGATTAGAAGTCTGAGTCTGCAGTGACTTGATCTACACTATGCCCGGTTTCCTGGAGGAAAACAGGCTAGCTGCCCAAGCTCCCTTGCACTCGGGCTGGCTTTCCCAACATAAGGACTATCCTCTAGCTCCCTCATGTCCATCGGCCCATCAGTGAACTTGGCCTGTGTATTTAGCACTCAGAATGCTGCAACCCCAGTCTATCCTGGGATCCAATTTTACAGGTTATTAAAAGGGAGAAACATGCACACGCGTGCTCATGTGTCTATCTCTGTCTGACTTTATCTCACAGAACTGGGGCTTAAGGTCATGCAAAGGAGATGGCAGACTTTAAAAACCCAGCAGTCCTTGGGAACCAGCAGTTAGCATAATGGCTATGTCGCTGGACTCCCACGTAGTCGACCGCGGTTCGTGTCCCGGACCCGGTGGCTTAAAACTCACGCCGGGCGCGTGTGCGTGCGTGCCCAAGATCCCGAGAGGAGAATGGAGGAGAAGGGATTGCGGCGTGACCATCCCCCCTGGGGGGTGATTTCTTGCTTTCTGTCTCTATGTCTCTGTCTGTCTGTCTGGCGAGCGCATGCGCCCTACAGTGAAAATCTTTCCAAAAAAAAAAAAAAATCAGAAGTCCTTCTCCAAAGACGTCCTCTGGGCTGGTTGCTCCTTGAGACCAGGCATATGCCCCAGGGATTTGGTGCTGCAGGGAGCTGCCAAAGGGAGCCAGGAGAACTCCAGGAGAGAGGTTGGCAAGCCCCAGCTGGTTCCAGGCTGACAGGTATAATCTACCAGATTCGCACAGGTAAGCAACCAGGGTCAGCAAAGGGGGTATGTTTTTTTTTTTTAAGGTACCATAAGCAAAGAACCAAAAAAATAAATAAACAAATAAAAGGTCAGATAAGCCCACTTGGGTGATCTATAGAAGTAATGCAAGAGGTTACCAAATCCTAACCAAGAATTCTTTCTCCAGGGCAGACCAGGGGATCAGAGAAGTAATGCAAGAGGTTAC